GGGAAAAAACAAATGTTTTCCCTACGTTATGTTAAAAAACATTAATTCTTACCCATATTTTTGGTAAAATATAAAAGATGGGGTCACGTCAGGTAAATAGACACCAAACATGTCAAGCCTTAAAATTGCATGCCCGCAAAATCGCAAAAAAAAACACACTAAAAACTGGCCATAGGCGGCGCTTTAAAAGCTTTTACTGCTACTCAGTTTAGTGTTATCAGTGATTAATGGCCCTAAAATTATTGCTCACACTTCGACGTTCACAGTGATATTAATATGTGCTGCACAATAGGCGCATTCAATGTTTCGCATGTTGGCGCACCCGGCGCATGTTTGTATGTGTATGTGGGGGGCGGGGGACTAAAAAATAATTAGTATTTTTTTATGCTTCTTTAATTTTTTTGTTACTCTTTTTTATTTATTTTTTACACTTAACTTTATTGCTATCGCATGGGGGGCTAAGAAGCCACCTATGTGATAGCCAATTTACATGACAGGTCCTCTTTATGGAGACATTAGGGGTCTCCAAGACCCCTAATGTCACCTAGGGACCCCCAGAGAAGCTGATGAAGCAGAGATCTGCTTCGACAGCTTCTCCCCGGCTTCTGAAGCGGAATGCGGAAGAGACAGCAGAATGCGGAATGTAATATATATGATGTAATATACATCACTTCCTGCATTCTGGCACTGCAGAGGAGATCGTGTAACGATCACCCTTTGATCTCCTGTCACAGAGCAGCCATGCCGGTCCCAGCCGCACCGGGCACAGCGGATCTCAGGACCGGCAACAGCAGTGACAGCTGCTGTTAATACTAGCGATCGGGCGTCTCTAGAGACGCCTGATCGCTTGAGTGTGAAGCTCCCGGACGGCCATTTAATTATCACGGCCGACCAGGAAGCTACTCGTCCGGCTCCGCCGTGTGACGAGAGGACAAGCGGATTTTTCAAACCCTGCCTATGGCTTATTAAAAATAGGCTGCAAAATGACATCCTAAGGACTAATCATCCACACTATTGTTTTTACAGTCACCACAAGTCTTCAGCTCTCTTACAGGTGCCTGTGTATAGCAGTCAGCTGTATTACAGGGACTTTCTATCAATGTGGGGAAAGTGAGTCAATAGCAAGGAAACTTTCTAACTTTCATTTTCTCATGTACAGTTAAAATAAAACAAAAATCCATTCCCTCTTTGAGTATGCAGTGTATGCAGGAGGTGAGTGTTGTTTTTGATCTCAACCCACCTAGCATGTATACATGACAGGTGCATTAATGTTAGCACATAATAGCAGGCCTGCAGTGTCCATATACTGTGTGTGTGTTGTAATGTTGGGGAGCTCACAGAGCACTCACACATGGCTTTTCCATAAACAAAAAAGTCTTTATTTTTCTCTTTAGGCAATTCAAAGGTGGAAAACACAAATGAAGGCTTGACTTCAGAATATAACAAAGTAATATTTAGCAAGGGTATCTTGTCTCACCAACTCAAGGTTGTCCCATTTCACTCACTGTCCTAGTCCCAGGTCTTTAACATTGGCCCTAGCAAACCACCTCAGAGGTACTTCATGATCTTTAGCTGCTTCCTGTAGCTTGTGTGCCTTGCTCTCTCATCCTGTCCAATCCTCCAGCCTCCCTGGCTGTTCGATGTGTGGCTTCAACACACCATATGGCTTGGCTCTAATGTGCATCTAGCACACACCACTTCTCCTCTAAGCTCTGGTCTGGCTCCTTAATGAGGCTGCTCTCAACCACCTGATCAGCCCAGACTGGTCATTGGCAAAACCGGGCTCCAGGACTAGAGATTTCATCCCACCCAGAGCTCTAAAGGTGCCCATACACTGCACAATTCTCATACGAGAATCGCGGGAAATCCCGCGATCGTACGAGAATCGTGCAGTGTGAATGAAGACGTGCGACCGTTTCTACTGTACGGTCGCACGTCTTTTGTCTAAGGAGCATGCTAGAAAACCAGCCGAAAATCTTACGATGATGCTCGGGAGACAAATGGCGAACGGGCCGGTGTGCGCACGTGCACACTGCCCGTTCAGCATTGCGGTCATCGGAAGCCCGCCCCTCAGGGGGGCGGGCATTCGAGGATCGCAAGTACGATCTGCCTGTCCAAGATGGGCAGATCGTACGTTTTTTTAAGTACTTTACAACCCTCGCAAGACAAAAGTCTTGCGGGGGTTGTAGAGTGTATGGGCACCTTAAGAAATCTCCAGTGCACCAGATCCCAGCTACAATTAGGAGAACCTGGAAGAATCTGAAAAGCCAGGTTCTTCCTTATGAAATGTTTTACACTCTGGACCCTCTCAGCCCCTCTTGCTGAGAGTCCTGGGTGCCACAGTTGCCAAACTACACCATGGCAATCCCCAATCTATGTGCAGCCGGTAAGGGGCTGAATTGCCGTGTGCTGCATTTCTGCCTCTCCAGTAAAAACAAGAAAAGGTTCCACTCACCTATGTGAAAAGCAAACTTTTACATATACACTGTAACTGCACTCATCAATCTTATCCTGTGTGATAGCAACAAATACCAAGACCTAATTATGTAATGAAATGGTGCATGGAACACAGGAGCGATCCAGCGGTGCTCCATAGACTGTGAACAGCACAGACACAGCCCGTCACCAACTCTCTATACAATACATGACGTTTACCTTATTAGTAATAAAGGAAGTCTACTGATAACTATCTCTCCCTACTGCCTGCCAAGAGATCGCTATCTGTATGCCTGGAAAGTGTGCCCTACTGCAAGTCATAGCACAGGATCATGCGGCTCCACCACTTCAAAGCTGCATCCTACAGGCGGATGAGGCTAGTCATAATTAAGGTGAATGGTCTAGGAGGTTGGGTAGAGTAAGACATTGTGTGTGTGCAAGATATATATATGGAGAGAGAGAGAGAGAGAGAGAGAGAGAGAGAGAGAGAAGAATAAGGCTAGTTATGCTCCACATGAACAAGAGAGAGGGAGGAGAAGA